AGAAACATTTGCTTCTGTAAAACATGATTAGGTTTCATTAGTGAAATAAATAGTCTGATGATGTTTTTGTTATGGAGCGGCCCTTCAAGTTCTAGTTCCACAGAGGAACCCTCTCCCAGACCCTCGCCACCAAGAGGCCCGGGCAGATGATTCCACTCATCACTGTGTCCTTTAGTGAGACAGCAGTCCTTGATATGCATTTTCCTCTCAAGTTCGGTAAATGACGCTATTTCTCTGGCAGAATAATGGATAATTTACTTAAGCTCTAGATTTACTTAACCAGAATTATAAATGGAAATTCAATGAGTTTACATTGAAATAAGACAACTAACACTGCAAAATGTAGCCAGGATCAAAATTACTTAATTAATATATCATGGAAATTTCACTCTGATTTGTTTAAAAATCGCTCTTCCCAGTATGGTACTGGCACAAAAACAGACACATAGATCAATGGAAAAGAATAGAGAGACCAGAAATGGACCCTCAACTCTATGGTCAACTAATCTTTGACAAAGCACAAAAGAATGTCCAGTGGAAAAAAAACGGTCTCTTCAACAAATGGTGTTGGGAAAATTGGACAGCCACATGCAGAAGGATGAAACTGGACCATTTCCTTACACCACACACAAAAATAGACTCAAAATGGATGAAAGACCTAAATGTGAGACAGGAATCCATCAAAATCCTTGAGGAGAACACAGGCAGCAACCTCTTCGACCTCAGCCGCAGCAACTTCTTCCTAGACACATCGCCAAAGGCAAGGGAAGCAACTATTCAGGACTTCATCAAGATAAAAAGCTTTTGCACAGCAAAGCAAAACAAACAAAAGCACAGTCAACAAAACCAAAAGACAAATGACAGAATGGGAGAAGATATTTGCAAATGACATATCAGATAAAGGGCTAGTATCCAAAATCTATAAAGAACTTTTCAAACTCAACACCCAAAGAACTAATCCAATTAAGAAATGGGCAGAAGACATGAACAGACATTTCTGCAAAGACGACATCCAAACGGCCAACAGACACATGAAAAAGTGCTCAACATCACTCAGCATCAGGGAAATAGAAATCAAACCTCAATGAGATACCACCTCACACCAGTCAGAATGGCTAAAATTAACAAGTCAGGAAAGGACAGAAGTTGGCGGGGATGCAGAGAAAGGGGAACCCTCCTACACTGTTGGTGGGAATGCAAGCTGGTGCAGCCACTCTGGAAAACAGTATGGAGGTTCCTCAAAAAGTTGAAAATAGAGCTACCCTACGACCCAGCAATTGCACTACTGGGTATTTACCCCAAAGATACATATGTAGTGATCCAAAGGGGCATGTGCACCCCGATGTTTATAGCAACAATGTCCACAATAGCCAAACTATGGAAAGAGCCCAGATGTCCATCAACAGATGAATGGATAAAGAAGATGTGGTATAGGGGCGCCTGGGTGGCTCAGTCGTTAAGCATCTGCCTTCGGCTCGGGTCGTGATTCCAGGGTCCTGGGATCGAGCCCCGCATCGGGCTCCCTGCTTGGCAGGAAGCCTGCTTCTCCCTCTCCCGCTCCCCCTGCTTGTGTTCCCTCTCTCGCTGTGTCTCTCTCTGTCAAATAAATAAATAAAATCTTAAAAAAAAAAAAGATGTGGTGTATATATATATATAATGGAATATTATGCAGCCATCAAAAAAAACCCAAAATCTTGCCATTTGCAAGGAAGTGGATAGAACCAGAGGGTATTATGCTAAGTGAAATAAGTCAATCAGAGAAAGATAAGTATCATATGATCTCACTGATATGAGGATTTTAAGAAACAAGACAGAGGATCATAAGGGAAGGGAGGGAAAAATGAAACAAGACGAAACCAGAGAGGGACAAACCATTAAGAGGCTCTTAATCTCAGGAAACAACAAAGGAGGGTTGCTGGAGTGGAGGGGAGTGGGAGGGATGGGGTGGCTGGGTGATAGACATTGGGGAGGGTATGTGCTATGGTGAGCGCTGTGAATTGTGTAAGACTGTTGAATCGCAGACCTGTACCCCTGAAATAAATAATACATTATATGTTAATAAAAATTTTTTTTAGAATCTCTCTTCCAAGTTATTTATAAACATCATTTTCTTCACTCTTCCCCAAGATTTGATCTTCCCAAGCCACTTTCTCAGAGTTTCTGCCCAAGTGCTCAGTGGCCCCCTTCTTCTCAGCCATGCCTCTTCCCCGCCCCCCCCGTGCCAACACCACTGAACACCACTTCTCCAGTGCCCTGCCCACCCCCCCCCCCCACAGGCAGGCACACTGCCCAGTGACTTAGGTACCCTGACTGGGTACACCTGCTGCAAGCTCTTCACTAAAGCTCACCAACATCCCCCTTGCTGAATATGATCATACATTCAAGAGGTGAAGAAAATGAAGACAGAAAAAGGCCTCTGGGGCACTGGGGCCAGGCGACTGCCCTCCTGCCTGTCCTGCTCCCACCCTGCTGGCATCTTCATTGCCCGCCCCCTCCTCCCCTGCTGGGGCTGACGCTAGGGCCAAGTGTGGCGTCAGCATTCTGCCCTTCCTGCCCTCCCCCCTCGCTTCTCGGAACGAAGAGCAACAGTGTGGAGTCACCCTCTGGTTGAAAGGCAGCTCAATCCTGTCTAGCTGCATGACTGTTCTTTTGGACTTCTAAAATAACACTTGTTTAAAAAAATAATAAATGGTACAGAAGTATGTAGAGTGCATTTTCAATGGGGGTGATACTGCCCCCCTCAAAGGGGTGAAAATAGGTTCTCATGGTGGGCGGTGAAAACCCCTGGAGACGTTACAAGAATCTGTGACCCTCCCCAACAAACTCTATTCCTTTGTACTAAATGTGTGGGAATCAGGAAGCAATTAGGAAAAACTTCTACAGACTTTCTTTGGGAAAGTGATGATGGAAACAAGGTTGAGAAGCACTGAGACCATGAAAACGCACAAGTCTCTCTTCACCTGCCCCCCGCGCCACCATCCCATTCCCTTCCCAGAGATAAGCACCTGTCTTATGCCACTTCTTCCATGGGCACACATACATTAGGGTGAGTCACCTATAAAACAGCGCGAGAATCAGAGAGCCTCACAAGCACAAGCCCAGAGGGCCTACGCTTTGTAACAGTAGAGAGGCACCCGATCAGATGAGAGCCTGCTGGTTGCCAACAGGCATCCCTCCCAGGCACTGAGTTCCCCCAGCAGAATCAGAGCAGGGAGGGACATCGAGCTTCAAAACCATCTCAACAAGAGATCCCAAAGTGCAGTTCCTGCCCTGCTTTATGGTGCTTCCTCGCGTAAGCAGGGAGCACTCAGCCGAAGTGCAATGTAGTGAAAAGGTGGGGGTGCACCCAGCATGAGGGGCAGTGATTATACAGATATGTACAAGAACTGTCTGAGGGCCCTACTTATGCCCAGGGATGTTCTAGAATCTACTAAAGAATGAAGACGTGTCTTTCCCGTATACTCCCCACACTGTATTCTTATCACAGTGCGTGGTAAAACCTGGAAGCAGACAATTCCAAATCACTAGGCTCCCTGTTGCACGCCACCAAGATAATCCAGCATTACCCCAAACCCTCTAAGTACAATCATATTCAAAGCAGTTCCCCTCTCTTCCAGATGTTTCTGTGTCATGGATTTTTAATTTTTTTTTTAAGATTTTATTTACTTATTTGAGAAAGAGGGAGCATGAGCAGAGGGAGGGGCAGAGGGAGAGAGACAAGCAAACTACCCACCCAGTGGGGAGCCTGCCACTGAGGCCCAAGCCCAGGACCCTGAGATCATGACCCAAGCTGAAGTCAGATGCTTAACTGAGCGACCAGGCAGCCCCACCTTTTAAGAGAGAGAGAGTCTTAAGCAGACTGAGGGTGGAGCCCAACTCAGGGCTCAATCCCACCACCCTGAGATCACAACCTGAGACAAAAACAAGAGCTGAACACTTAACCGACTAAGCCACCCAGGCGCCCCATGGGTTCTTCCGTCAACGTCTTTCTCCATTACTCCTTCTGTCATTCAAGTGGCTACTACATACATACCAGTTAGCTTCAAAGGCAAAGTCTCTACCCTGAAAAGCTTACATTCTATTGGAAGAGAACAAACACCTATTAAAGATTTTATTTATTTATTTATTTGTGAGAGAGAGCGCACACATGTAAGCAGAGGGAAGGAGAGGGACAAGCAGACTCCACACTGAGCATGGAGTCCCATGTGGGGGCCCGATCCCAAGACCCTAAGATCATGACCTGAGCCAAAATCAAGAGTCGGACGCCCAGCTGACTAAGCCACCCAGGTGCCCCAACAAATACATATTAAGGTGTGTTAAGACATTTGCAAAACAACAGTAATAGTAGTAGTAGTAGTAGTAGTAACAATAATAATAATAATAATGTAGAGTATTTAAAATAAAGAATAGAGGGGAGCCTGGTTGGCTCAGTTGGTGGGGCATGCAACTCCTGATCTCAGGGTTGTGGGTTCGAGCCCCACACGTTGGGTGTAGAGATGACTTAAAAATAAAACCGTAAAATAAAATAAAGAACAGAATCCACTGGGACCACCACTGTCCTAATATAAGGACCAAATAGATTTCCATCTGAAATACCATGATGCCTCTTCCCTTCTTATTATCTGCCATTCTTGATACCTCATGCAAGACAATGAACAGGCTTTAACATTTTCTTACCTACCCCCCCACACCTTTGCAAATTTTTAAAGTATTCATTCACATTATAGATACAACAAACAAGATCACAGGCCTTGAAGTCAGACTTTAAAAACTTCCCAAAACTGTGTTCCCAATTCTAGTATGATCTAAGTCAGTAACCTAATCCTGATGACCCCATTTCTCACAGGTAGTCTTCCTTCCCAGACCACTGTGAGCATGAAGCCTGCTCCACAGGTAAAGAAGGACGCATCTCAGTGCCTGACACATCTGAGTTAATGCTCTCCTTTTATATGGGCTTGAGTGCAGAGGAACTTCAAAAAGTTCCACTGGGACTCATCTGGGATACTGCCCATCACCACTCATCTCAAAGCTCACTCCTGCCTGTCTTTGCATCCCAAATTCCCATTCTTTCTCAGATTATTGCTGATGAAAAGAATGAAGTAACTACTTTTTAAAAAGCAGAAATTCTTTCTTATGGGGGATAGAGGTGGGAATTCTAGAGAAAATCCCTTTACATTTGGGATAAGAAGGTCAAGGTAGATTGCATGACTTCCTCAAGGTCACTACAGAATCTGAGACTCATTCTATGGTGTGAACTGTGTTAAGATCTGATGGGGAATGATTATATATTCCAGAGATACGGAAAACCATATTTGCCTCAGGTAAACAGGAGGGACACCTACGAGCTTCCCCCCACCCCCCATCATTTATGTTTACAACGGAAACTCTGGAACTCAAAGTTAACATCCTTGCTGGTGAGCTTCTTACAGATAACACAGAAAGTTTCAACCTTGTGCTCTATGTCGCTCTGCTGTGCTTTATCCAAACGAACCTTTGTGACCAGACTGCCATCCAGCTTCACGTGGATCCTCTTGCCTACAATTTTGCTTGGGAAAACCAAGTCCTCCAGGATTGCATCACGCGCGGCTGTCCAAGCGCAGATCCTGGGACACTTTTGCTCGTTTTTTGTATGGCTTTTTTCAAGTTGGCTGAGGCAGAATTCTCCTCTGAGCCTTAAAGACAACATGCTTCCCAGTGAACTTTTTCTCCAATTCAAAGACTAGCCGGACTTGGATGTTCTGGAAAGATTTCAGTTGAGGAATGGCAACAAAGATGGTAAGAACCTTCCAACCACCGCCAACTTCAGTTTCCTTGGCTGCTGTTGTATTCATCTCCCATAGCTGGGCTCGGAGGCCCGAGTTCCTCTCCAACTCAAGGAGGGCCTGGACTCCAGCTCATCCAGCTTCTTGCCATTGGGCCTCATGATCATGCTGGAACTGAACATGGCCTTTTCCTCGGTGAGAGCCCTGGCCTAGGAAGAGCCTACGAGCATTTTCAAGTCAGGTCCTTTGCTCAAAGGGACAGCCGGACCTTCAGATCAGTGTGTCAGCATATGGAACCAGCACAATTTTTTCTCTCCAAACACATGTATTCAAATAAATACAAAGACATTATGACTCAATGTGCCAATACCACGAAACTGACAAAGTTTTTGAAATAACCTAAGAGGAGGTGGGCCAGTGCCTAAAGCAAACAGCATAACTAATAAATGATTAAGAAAATGCAGAAAAAACAGAATGTCAATTTTGTCTTCTCTATCTAGAAACTGACCTTCAGACCAGTTTAGAATACACACAGTTCAAAGTTGGACGTTGAACCCAAAAAACAAATCATCCTGTAAGCAAATGGACAGAAGACATGAGCAGACATTGCTCCAAAGACATCCAGATGGCCAACAGACACATGAAAAGATGCTCAACATCAGTCATCGCCAGCGAAATGCTAATTAAAGCTACCATGAGATACCACCTCACACTGGTCAGAATGGCAAAAATCAAAACCACAAGCAACAAGAACTGTTGGCAAGGATGTGGAGAAAGGGGAACCCTCTTACACTGCTGGTGGGCATGCAAACAGGTGCAGCCACTCTGGAAGTTCCTCAAAAGTTAAAAATAGAGCGACCCTATGATCCAGTAATTGCACTACTGGATATTTACCCGAAAAATACAAAAACACTAATTCAAAGAGATACATGCAGCACCCCATGTTTATAGCAGCATTATTTACCATAGACAAATTATGGAAGCAGCCCGTGTACATCCATAGATGAATGGATAAAGAAGTGGTTGGGCGCCTGGGTGGCTTAGTTGCTTGAGCGTCTCGTCTTTAGCTCAGGTCATGACCTCAGGGTCCTGGGATCAAACCCCACATCAGGCTCCCTGCTCAGTGGGGAGCCTGCTTCTCCCTCTCCCTCCACCTGCTGCTCAACCTGCTTATGCTCTGTCAAATAAATAAAATCTTAAAAAAAAAAAAGTGGTGTGTGTGTGTGTGTGTCATGGAATATTATTCAGCCATAAAAAAGAATGAAATCTTGCCATTTGCAATGATACAGATGGAGCTAGAGAGTATTAGGCTAAGTGAAACAGGTCAGTCAGAGAAAAACAAATACCGTATAACTTAACTGTGTGAAACAAACAAACAAAAGAGTGAAAGACACAATCCAAAAAACCAAACTCTTAACTATGGAGAACTGACAGTTACCTGAGGCGGGGGGGGGGGGGGGGGGGGGGTTGAATCACTATATCGCACACCTGAAACTAATATAACACTGTATGTTAACTATCCTGGAATTAAAATTATAAAAATAATAATAAAATGAAGACATCTAAAAAAGTAAATAAATAAAACTGGACTTGGAAGTTTCAAATCTCAACAAGTAGGAGTAAGCCTAGAGGCTGGATTCCCAGAAGAACCTAGACTCAGAAAGGACGATGAACAAAGATGCACCTGTTAAAAAGCTCAGTTTGTGAGAAACCTTGATAAACCCAAGTAACAGGAACCTAGATGTGGGTCCACTGCTTCCTGACCCCCACGCAAAAGGCAAGGGTCCCTCTATTACAGGCTGAAGAGCCTGCTGCTGTCATGCTACAGTGGACTCCTGGAGCGAGGGTGTGCAGGGACCTGGGCGGGGGGGGGGGGGGGGTTGCCGAGGGGAGGCAGTCATCCATCACCAGGAGCCAGCATACCTACGGCAAGCCACATCCAACATGCCTATGTCCTCTCCTTGGGGGGCAGCATGGGCTTTAGTCCTGTACCCCTAGCGCGCATGCCTGGGGCATCTGGCCCACAGTGGGTATTCAATAAATGATTTTTCATCCACTGACAGTAGTACCCAACTAGAAAAATGCTACAGATTTAAAGATCTATCTTGTTTCCGAAAGGCATCTGCATTTGAATGCTGCTGGTTTTTAGAGGCGCCACATCTCCCTGATCTACCAATCTAGTAATCTTAGTTAGATGGACCACTAGGGACATATTTGTTTTACCTTCTCATAAAAGTCCCTATGTCTATGGCACTCCTTATGTCCAGTGTAGTAACTCTAGAAGTAGGGCCTGGTCAGAAGCAACAACCATGCCCTCTGTGCCGATCTATGTCAAGGAAGGAGGAGCTCCCACTGATATGTACCTTGAGGCTTAGATTTAGATCTGTTCTCTTCTGGGTTCTACATATATATAAATATTTAAGATTTATTTATTTGAGAGAGAGAGCACAAGCAGGAGGGGCAGGGGGAGAAGGAGAGAGGATCTCAAGCAGACTCCACGCTGAGCGCAGAGACCGACACGGGGCTCGATCTCAGACCCTGAGATCAGGACCTGAGCCAAAACACGGTCGGATGCTCGAAAGACTGCATCCAAGTCTCTTCTGTTTTGGTAACAAATTAACTGACAACCTGGAAACTGTTAGACATACTTATTAAACAATGGAAAGTTAAACTGGGAATAGCTCAAAAGAAACAAAGTTCAGATTCAGAAAATCATAGCTTAATAAATTATTCCAGATATACATAAAATCCCACAGCAAGTTCTAGAACTAACTAGTCATGCATACTCAAGAAGCTAAACAACTCTATCTAAAAAAGCTAATGCTGGGGCGCCTGGGCGGCTCAGTCATTAAGTGTCTGCCTTCGGCTCAGGTCATGATCCCAGGGTTCTGGGATCGAATCCCACATGGGGCTCCCTGCTCTGCGGGAAGCCTGCTTCTCCCTCTCCCACTCCCCCTGCTTGTGTTCCTGCTCTCGCTCGCTCTCTCTCTGGCAAATAAACAAATAAAATCTTTAAAAAGAAAAAGCTAATGCTGTCTTGTTCTGCACAGGTATACAATTCTTTATAAAATACTACTGCTTCACAGACCTGTACCTCTGAAACAAATAATACATTATATGTTAAAAAAAACAAAAAAACAAAAAAACAGATAGTAGGAAGGGAAAAATGAAGGGGAGGGACATTGGAGGGGGAGACAAACCATGAGAGACTATGGACTCTGAGAAACAAACTGAGGGTTCTAGAAGGGAGGGGGCTGGGGGGATGGGTTAGCCCGGTGATGGGTGTTAAGGAGGGCACGTTCTGCATGGAGCACTGGGTGCAATACGCAAACAATGAATCATGGAACACTACATCAAAAACTAATGATGTACTGTATGATAACTAACATAATAAAATAAAATTTTAAAAAAATTAAAAAATATTAAAAAAAATTAAAAAATAAAATATTGCTTGCCTTATGTGCTTGATAACAACAGCTCTCTATGAGGTAACCAAGGAGAGGATTATTTAAATAAAACAGGTGTGAGAGGAGTATGTGAAATAGAAAACCTTATGCAATCATCATCGCCCTTACTTTATAAAGACGGAAAACCAACTTGCCAAAGCAAGGATTACAATCCCTTGACATGAAGGTGCCTCATCTAACTCATCACAGTGATCAAAACAGAATGAGTCAGTGTTCTGTCGTCAAAGGAGTTAGTTAATAATCCCACTGGACCCTAGCAGGTTAAACAATATCCGTGGCATTACTGTGATCAGTTCTGAGTGCTGCACTCTAAGAGGGCCACTGACAAATGACATCAGTTTCTAGAAGAGGCAAATTGAATGGAAAAAAATCATCCACAGCCCATAAGGAGAGACTGGTCAGCCAGCAGTGGCTCTATATAACCTAGAAGGGACTGTGGGGACAAGAGAAGAAACAGGCTAGTACCATCTGAATTTTTAGATGAAAGTCCTATAGCAGAACCTGGCTGGCTCAGTCAGTGGAGCACGCAACTCTTGATCTAGGGGTTGTGAGTTCAAGACCCACATCTGGGTGTGGAGATTACTTAAAAATAAAAATCTTAGGGCGCCTGGGTGGCTCAGTTGGTTGGGCGACTGCCTTTGGCTCAGGTCATGATCCTGGAGTCCCGGGATCGAGTCCTGCATCAGGCTCCCTGCTCAGCAGGGAGTCTGCTTCTCCCTCTGACCCTCCCCCCTCTCATGCTCTATCTCATTCTCTCAAATAAATAAATAAAATCTTTAAAAAAGAAAAAATAAAATAAAAATAAAAATTAAAAAAAAAAAAAAAGTCCTATAGAAGAGGAAGTCCATCTATTCTGAATGGCACACTGGAGATTCTAGGGAGACGTACTAGATGCATGCAGGAATGGAGAGAGCGCACGGGAGTGTCCAAGCACAGGCACGGGAGACCCACGAGAAAGCCTGCTGGAGAACATTCTCTAGCTTCGGAAGGAGGCTGGCTGGGTCTCGAATTTGATGTTGCTGAAGAAATCCTGCTGAAAGGGGACTGTCCCCGAAGCCCCACGGGCAAAGTAGATAAAAACAGAGATGCTCCTCTGCGCTTTGTTTCTACGATTTGAGGCTCCGCCTGGCTCCCCGATCCTCAGACGTGCAGGCCTCGGGCGTTTTTACTGCCATCTACAACTCCAGGCACTTGCGTCCTCAGTGGGCATCCAGATGCCTCCTCCATAACCCGTGAGTCGGCACGTGGACAGCCTGAAAAGTTGTCCTTTGTTTCTCTAATCACAAGGGACATCATGGCAGTGACCTTTCCATAGCTTTGGAATGCACACTCACTCCTCATCAGTGATATAGCAAGTTTGCTTCGGAGGGTGGGTCTTGTGACCTGAGGGGGGCATGAAATCCACCTCCAAGGCCCCAAGTGTATATTGCACTTGCATAGGAACTCGCCTCTCCTGACCCGGGAAATGCCGTCTGCTCCTGCATGGCTGACCACATTCATCCAAGTGCTCCCAGCTGCCTACCCCAAAGGTGAGTCAAGCACACATCACCCCCTCCCTCTGAGCTCCCGATGGGCCATGGGCCAGAAAGGGGGCCGAGGAGAAGCAGGACGCCAGGCTTTCAGGCAGCCTTCGGTACATCGGGAGGTCCTGTTGGGGGCCCAGCTAGATCTCAGATCATGAATGCCTTTTCTAACTACAGTCGAGTCTGTCCCTTTGAGAGAGCTGGCTTCATACCACCAGGGAAGAACAGAGCTCAAATACCTCATTGAAACAGGCTAGATGCTGGCTAGTGAGATGTCACAGGAGTCTTCCAGAGACGTTAACTGCAAGATACTGAGCCTTTTTCTCCCCAGTGAAAATGAGATATGAAATTTCCATCAAAAAGGATAGAATTTCACATATCCTCTTTTTAAAAAATTTTTATAACTTATATCATGAAATAGCAGATGAAGATACAGGACTCTCAACTTGTTGAGACCCTAAGTAAAAAGGTTTTTGGTTCACTTTAATGGGGAGTACGAAAAAAAAATGAAGTCAAAAGTAAGGTTCAAACACCTTCATGTTACCAAGTTCTACACAAAGACAGGATAGATACATACTAGGGGGTCCAAGCTCCTTATACACTGAAATAAAAAAGGCAATAGTTACATGTGACCACGGTTCCCTTTTCCAGTCCTGAAGTCCAGGAGGCCCCTGGGATCAGGTCACATCTGGACAACAAGGCTACCTCCCCATTCTACCTGACCGTAGGGCAAGCTGAGAGCAGGGGAAGGAGACGACCAGCTCCTCGGGAAGCAGAGTGCGCACAAAGTCTCTTGGGGGCTAGGTCATGAAGGCTTGCTAAAGACATCCAGGCACTGGGGCGCCTGGGTGGCTCAGATGGTTAAGCGTCTGCCTTCGGCTCAGGTCATGATCCCAGGGTCCTGGGATCGAGCCCCGCATCTGGCTCCCTGCTCAGTGGGGAGCCTGCTTCTCCCTCTCCCACTCCCCCTGCTTGTGTTCCCTCTGTGTCTCTGTCAAATAAGTAAATAAAATCTTATAAATAAATAAATAAATAAATAAAGACATCCAGGCACAAAAACAAAATAAACCCAACTTTGCATCCCTTCCTGATCAAGGGCCAGGGGAATGAGGAGAGCGAGCGCTGCACAGGCTGCAAAGGGGCCTGGGCAGGACTCAGTGGAGAGAAGCAGCGAGTCCGCAGTGTATCCAGATCCTGGCCCATCCCCCCCTTTCCCCCTCCCGCCCCCCAGCCCCATGCTGGCTGCACCCTGGGCGCTCACAGCTGCTCACAGCCCCGGGAAGACAAGGGCAGGAGCACAGTAACACCCTTCTTTCCCAGGAGAGGGCGAACCCGACAATGGCACGGGAGGTCTTCCCCACCTCAGTTGTTTCCCCGCCCTCTTCTGTGTTCCTTCCCCGCTTTCCACGGGAACCTTCTTCCCTCTCTTGCCTCGGTCCCACTCACCCTGCGTATTGAGCCCTCCCCCTTATTTGGTCCATCAGTGGGCACAGACCACCCCCCATCCTGTCTGAAACAAGTGCATCTCCCCCCCCCCCCCCCCCCCCGTATAGCTGACACGCAGTGTTACATAGTTTCAGGTGCCCAGCACAGTGATCCCACTGCTCTATACATTATGCTACGCTCACCACAACACGCACACATATATATTTTTAAGTAATCTCTACACCCATCCTGGGGTTTGAACTCACGACCCCCAAATCAAGAGTCGCACGCTCTTCCAACTGAGCCAGCCAGCCACCCCAACAGGCACATCTTTGATTAAATCTGCTGCCAACTTCCAACACTGTCCTGTTTCTCTTTCATTTCATGACAAACCTCTCCATTTAGTACTTCTACTGAAGACCATCTCTCAAAAGGTCACCAGGGACCCCTCATAGCCAAATCCAGTTGTGTGTTTCTGCAGCACTCCAGAAGGCCCCTCCAATCTCACCTCCTGTGGCTTCTTGTTAAAGGACATCATCCCTGAGCTTCCCTCTCTGGCCTGCCTTCTCCCCCCCTCCCCCCCCCCTTGAAAGCTGCCAATTCTCCCTGAGTTCTGGCTTCTGATTAAAATAGTGAAGAACATGGGCTCTGGAAGCTGAAGGCTCAGGTTGGAGTCCCAGCTCCACTGTGCCTCAGTTTCCTCACCTGTAAACCAGAGATCATTAACAGTGCTTATATCAGTTACATCAGAGAGCTGATGGGAAGAATCAACGACTTAATTCATGTACACCATGAAGAAATCAGTAAACGTCAACCCTTATCCTTCCATCTGTGCTCTGCTGGCCATTCCTGTCCAGATACCAAAAAGATTTCCTTCTTTAAATTCCATATATCATACAGAAAAATCACTTGACACTATTTGATAGCCATTTTTTAAAAGATTTTATTTATTTATTTGACAGAGACACAGTGAGAGAGGGAACACAAGCAGGGGGAGTGGGAGAGGGAGAAGCAGGCTCCCCACTGAGCAGGGAGCCTGATGCGGGGCTCAATCCCAGGACCCTGGGATCATGACCTGAGCCAAAGGCAGACGCTTAATGACTGAGCCACCCCGGCATCCCTATTTTATAGTAATTTTGATAAGAAATCATTTTGATGCTGCCTAGGCTTTTTATTTTAAAAACCACTCATTATCTGGGGCACCTAGGTGGCTCAGTCGGTTAAGCATATGCCTTCAACAAAGGTCATGATCCCAGGGTTCTGGGATCAAGCCCTGCGTTGGGCTCCCTGATCAGTGGGGAACCTGCTTTTCCCTCTCCCTGCTCTGGTGTTCACTCTCCCTCTCTCTCAGATAAATAAAATCTTAAAAAAAGAAAAAACCTACTCATGAAATAATTTGTAAAAGAGATGCCCCCACCTCACTCTGCTGCCAACTCTCACCTGAGTGGTGGGGTGGCAGAGAGAGGAGGTATCACAGATGTACGTGGCTCGTGACTTGATAATAATGAGCTAAAGCAAGTGACCTGAATTTTGACAAGGCCACTCTGATATGGTTTTGTTTTTGAACATCAAGAGGAGAACCACCTTCCCTTTCATACCTTTGGTGGGAAGTATAAACTGATTTTTCTAAAGAGCCATCTGATACTACCTATAACACTTTTAAATGTTAGGTCAAAAGTTATGCACTTTTCTACACAAGTACTTTTGAAGGAAATACCCACCAGAAGGAACGTAATGAATAAACAACGGGGATCCATACAATAGACTCTAATTCAGTTCTAAAACGGTCGACTGATATTCAGAGTTGCACAAATAGGTGGGTGGGGGTGAAGAGATACAGGATACTTTCACTACTTCTATATTCTGGTCCCGTCTGCATCCTTCACAACAAACATTCCATTTACAAAATCAGAGTAAAAAAAGAGGTTCTCATAGGCAAGGAAGATGGTGCCATACGGAGATGCCTTGTCGGAAAGTCACGGGCTCCACAGGGCTTTGGACCTGGGTCTGACTCCAAGGCTACATCTCTTCCTCCACTAGATGTTCTCCTACCCCCCCACTCCTAAACAAGCCCAGATAGGAATTCTCTACCCTAGTCACAGAGCCGACAGCCCAGAAAGCTATGCTGCTGCAGGAGGAGGACGAGCCAGCAGCCTCAGACTCTGTGTCTTCCCCTAGAGTCCTTCCAACTCCCGGAGAAGCAAGGGCGCATCCACCACCATCACCGTATAGACCGATGCACATGAACAGGCTGCAGAGCTCAAGGAAAAACGCTGATTCAAACCAGCCCATGGGGACTCTGCAGTCTCAGAGAGCGTCGCCGGTATGGTTCAAAAGTTCATAATAGGGTATTTGGCAGAGATGTCTCAGACTAAAAACACTTTAACTCCTCCACTGGCCCTTATAAAAAGAGCCTCCTACGACATGCGTGTTTTAGAAGGTGCTGTAGGTCGGAATGCAGGAAAGGGTGTCAACGGTGGAGCGGTCACGGGAAAGAGGAAAAGAAAATTTTAAAAATCAAGCCCAGAGAGGAAGGAAGTTCAAAATGAAAGCCCGGCTGGCAAAGCACACGTGTGTGTGTGTGCGTGTGTGTGTGTCTGTGTGTGTGTGTCTGAGGCGAGGTGGGGCTGAGGGACTGATACAACCTACAGGTCGTATGTGCGTGTGCGCGCGTGTGTGCGTGTGTCTGAGGCGTGGTGGGGCTGAGGGACTGATACAACCTATAGGTCATGTGTGCATGTGTGTGTGTGTCTGAGGCGAGGTGGGGCTGAAGGACTGATACAACCTACAGGTCGTGTGTGTGTGTGTGTGCATGTGTGTGTGCATGTGTCTGAGGCGTGGTGGGGCTGAGGGACTGATACAACCTACAGGTCGTGTGTGTGTGTGTGTGTGTGTCTGAGGCGTGGTGGGGCTGAGGGACTGATACAACCTACCGGTCGTGTGTGCATGTGTGTGTGTGTGTGTCTGAGGCGAGGTGGGCCTGAGGGACTGATACAACCTACCGGTCGTGTGTGCATGTGTGTGTGTGTGTGTGTCTGAGGCGAGGTGGGGCTGAGGGACTGATACAACCTACAGGTCGTGTGTGCGTGTGCACGCGTGTGTGTGCACGTGTGTGTGCGTGTGTGTCTGAGGCGAGGTGGGGCTGAGGGACTGATACAACCTACAGGTCGTGTGTGCGTGTGTGTGTGCGTGTGTCTGAGGCGTGGTGGGGCTGAGGGACTGATACAACCCTACAGGTCTCTCAAGAAAGGTAAAGCAAAAGCGAAGACAATTGCCCTCCAGGCTTCAGAGCAGAGAATGGGCCCATTCAGGGGAAGGGATGTGGCCATATGTGAACTCTCGAGAAAGGCCCTGAGCTCCAGCTTAGCTGCTAAGGGCCAAGGACACGGACAAGCTCACAATGTGATGTTTAACGTAAGTATAATTTCTATACTTGATTAGAACTATGATTGCTATTGCTATTTTTGCATTCAAAGTGGAATCACATGTTTGAATGAGGAGAGACTGACTACACATGGTATTGATTATTTTCTCTCCTATTTCCTCCCATGTGAAACAAAAGGAGGGAGGGAAAACTGCACTGAGGAAGCACACACTTGCTCTCCCCCCCCCCGACCCCCACCCTCAGTATGGAGGCTTGTGTAGCACCAAGCAGGCTGAGAGGCAGGGGACAATGCGGAAAGATCAGTGTCTAAACATCTGGGAAAGGGAAAGAAACAATGAAATCACAGCCGGCTCTGTGGAGCCACCCCACAACTAGGACCCCCCAGAAATTTGTGAGGGAGGAGGAAAATGGCCATAAACGCTTAGGTTGTGTCTCACCCAAAAGAGTCCTTCCAAGTCCAAAGACCTCCTGTTTTTTCTGCATTCCTGCCTCCAGTTCCCTGGCCTGCCCACTGCAGACTGCTGGGAGCATCACATCCTGAAGCTTCCCCTCCGCCGGAGGAGGCTGTTGAAGAAGGTCCCTCCCTAGCTCACGGAGGAAAACTAAGTCTTCTGAGCTCACGGACTTCACACAGGTCTAGGTGGAGCCTTCATCAGACCATTTAAAACGGAAGACCTCCAGTGACGACCAAGATTTACACATGAAGAGACAGGGGCACCTGGCTGGCTCAGTCAGTGGAGCTGTGACTCTTGATCTCAGGGCTGTGAGTTCGAGCCTCACAGGTGTAGAGAGGACTTAAAAAAATAAAATAAAATAAACAGTCCACAGTCCACTGTGGAAGAATATGAGGCTCCTCTGAAACCAAGAAATGAAAGAGCTATCTTATCTTGTTTAAAAGAAACCAATCTCTTAAGAAGAAAAAGCCAAATAAGAACATGGCCAGAATGCAAAGCCTCTAGCTCCACGCAGAAGTCCCTGGCTCTGAGGGGAACGTGGACACAACGAGAACAGGGCTAGAGGCCCTGGGATGTCACAGAGGGGGCACAGGCCGCCAGGGGAAGGAGTCTTGGGTAAGGACTCTAGGGGCAGATCCTATTCCTGACACAGAAGCGAAACCCAGAGATATTGCTTGGCACCGTAGTCCCTTATCTGCCAGATACAAACAGATTCCTGACTGAATGTCCAAGTCCTGGAGATAATCTCACTGTCTAGAAGAGAAGCTCAGAACACAGGACTGAACCTAACCGGCAGGGAACCAGCCAGCAAAGTGGAACAATGGCTAACATTGACATAATGTGCACTTTGGGTTCCAGGCACGATGGATGCTAAACACTTTACATGCGTTGTCTACCTTACTTATTTCTCCCAACAACCCTACAAAAGGTAGGTATTCCCATATCCTTATTTTACAGATGAGACATGGGTTACTTGCCCAAAGTGACCAAGTCAAGGGCAGAGCCAAAGATTCCAACCCAGACAGGCTCCACAGTCCATGTTCTTAGCCACTAGGTTCTACTTTCT